GATAATCTGACATATTTACAGCCTTGTTCGTTGCGGATGAAGGGGCATGTCAGTGGGGCTGGGTTTGGCGCGCGGCCAGCCCGTTTCCCGCCATTTGTTGAAGCAGGTAGTAGTGACAACAATGGTAGAAAGCGACTGATAACGACATGATACAGTCCTGTCGCTCGCCGAAAAAGAAAAAGTAGAAAAAAACGGGCCGGTGTAGCGCCAAACCCAAACCCTCTGATAAACCCCATCATCGGCAGCGAACAAGAGTAGAAGATGGTGCACGGAGATACATCTCTGACAAAGAAAGGACCCCTTGAAACTTGCCTATCTCTCTCCTTCATGAATTCTTTTTCAGCCCATAGCTTCTGCATCATGTAGGCGTCATCGTCCAAGTAGGGTACCTCATACTCCTTGGTTCCTTCCGTCGGAGGTTCGAGATGCTCTTCTGCTTGCTTCCTTTAAAAGATTACCATGGAAATAACAGGACAAGGAAAGATACGATAGCAAGGGAAGAACATACTTGTAGGTGAAGCCCATGAAGGAAGTTACGGTGCGCATTGGTGGACTTGCACTGTCACCTGTTTCCAGTTTGTAGTAGGCATCATTTCGTTCATGCACAACGGTCTCGATATTGCGCATTGTCTGAAATACTATTATAAAACCACAGGCCAATTTCATTCTCTACTGCCAAACCTATCAGAATCAAAGTCATGTTTTGATCTAGATCATCCCTTTAAGTTAGCTCTTCATTGTTTTGTCCCCGGGAGAAGCTTTTCCCTGAACACCACTACTAAATCGGTTTATCTTAAAACCGCCAAATCTCTACTAGGCACCAAAACTGCTGAAAACCTCCTCAAGGGATCATTAGATCCCTGAATACAAACATAACATCTGTCTGGCGCGCTAATGCCACGTATGTGAGCTACTAGCCTGGCGCCTGTGGCACAGGCGCCGGGCTAGTAGCTCACGCCGAGCGCTTTGGCTGTAAGCAGGATGCAATACTGAAGTTCAGGTAGTCAAACTACCTCTAGGATGGACCTTTGCCCATTTCCACCCCACAGAAGAATTTCGATCAAAATGTTCCCTGTTTCGATCAAAGAAGTGAAATGAAGTGTAAATAGTGCCAGCGATAGAAGCTAGTGAGCGCCGCTAAGGAAATTTTGTCGTTGTCTGCTTTCCTTCTGGAAATCTGGCTTTTTGTGGTAAAAAACGGTGATTGCAGATGACGGTACCATTGAATATTAGATGGCATACCATGCCATGCTCCCTGTTCGCTGCACTCTACTTCATGACGCAGAACCCACCCTCCAAAAACATCGTTTTCTTCGGTCTTCCCAGTGGGTATGACCACCTGTAACATCACACCCGCCTTCAGCTCTTAAGAGCCATTGCAGTTTGTCTGTCATAGATGTTTGGAAAGAGCAAAGTAAAGTAAGGTCTTGACAGTCTTATATTCTGCACGAACTTAGCTCACAGGGCACATCGTTTTTGGGGAACCCCCAATAGAGGGGTCGTATTTGGCCGCCAGGAGAGGGGTTTTATGCGTACTAGTATGCCCCCCCTCGACGGCTCCATTCGGATGAGAGGAACAGGAGGCCGGATGGCGAGGGGTCGCCACCAACTCCCCGCCCCCCCAAAAAAGGGAGGGGGTCGTACAGACTGAAAATCCATGTTAGCTCATCTACTACTTCTAATTCCTGAATGCTATCATGAAGGTTTTGAAGCTGCCGTGGGAGGTGAGCTTCAGCTATAGAATCAGAAACACTCCAAAACCTAGAGTATGAACATATATAGCTGCTTCCGGCTGCAAGCTCGTCCAGTACAGGCTCCACCTTATCAAAGAAGGACGAAAAAAGCGACTGATGAATAATTCATCCAATCTTCGATCTATGGTCTCTTATTTTTGCCAAGGTTCACTTACTATCTAGTCAAACTAAACTATTTGAGAGAAAAGGTCCGAAACCCAGTTTGAACTGAAATTTCAAAACAGTACAGAGAAATTTTTTTAAAACTAGGAACACAAACTTGAAACGTTGTTGAGGAATTAAAGAGGAGACACAAAACTCGTTTACCTCATTCACTCGATCAATACGCTCCGGATTTGGCATAGATCGAGCATGCGAAACATATGCAGCTTGCATAGTGAGCAACATGTTACGCTCCTTCAGACATACGTACCTGAATGACTTACGTAAAAATGACTGCTGGTTAATAATGCTGCATTCATACTTGTGTAAAGGTACGACAGCGTATGGCAGCGCTGGGAGCGTCAACCAGCACCAGCGGCCAGGAAAGTATAGGTATCGATCTAGCGTACGCCAGCTTTTTCGCACGCAGTTCGAGCTCGCACAAAACTGCCCGAGAAAACGCTGGCGTAAGCCGACGCAAAGTATGAACGCAGCCTTACAGTTGACCGCTTATGCGAAAACGTCTCCGTAAAGGGTCGACGATTTGTACTCCGTTCACCGAAAGGAGGAAAAATGCGTACACAAAATATCGTGCCTAGTATAGGCTCATTTTTTAACACCGCTGGAGCGGAGCCCAGAGGATCTTCCCAAAAATTGAATGCGTTGGAACACCATGAGCCAGTGTCAACAGCGGAAACATTCTAAAAGACATACAGCTGCTAATGGCGTAAACATATGCACTCTTTATCCCAGAGGTATAGTGGGCTGCGCGTTCCTCACTGGAACGTAGCGGCTGCTGCGTTTTTTGGGAGCATAATGCCAATTTGGGACAATTGCAATCATGTTTCTGTCCAGCACAAGACTGGATGACAGTTGTCTCAAACTGAAACTGCTCGCGAATCATGCTATCCTACAGGTGCGCAGCCACGCCCTACTCACTTCCAAGATAAGGATGTAAGAGATAGGAAACAACTTCTTTCAAGCCCTGATGTTTCTATCAAAGTATCAGCAGTGTAGCACAGGCCCGCTACCTATTAAAAGTAAGGCGATTGCGAGTCATCTAACAAAATACTGACGAGAAACTAGTATTGTATTGTTCTCAGTGATGTCTCAAGACAAGTCACCATCAGGACACCTCCTACTGCTGGGGAAATTTTCGGAGAATACGACCCTTCCCCCAATGTTGTCCTTTGCTATGACCCCCCCTCCTCATTCCTCACCCTACCTACTACTCTACTGTCTTGCCTCTCTTGCCAACTCTTTTAAGCATTATACCACTTTTGCAGGTTTTCCTGACAATTTTGCTGTCGAGCGGCGAGGGGAGGGATATACATCGCCAGAGAAACGGGAAAAACCGCGAAAAATGAACGCCGAATAGCCGAACAACGCAGCAAATTTTCCCTCAGATCGATTCAGTCTCCTCCAGCAACCAAGTACACTCCCCCCCCCTCCCGCTGAGGATCCCCAATGTAGAGCCACGGTGCTCTGGTCAGCAACATGTTAGGTGACGTCAATGAAAAGTCATCTACTGTTCAATAAGGTAGTGCTCTACCGCGCGCGTGCGCGATATCAGCTCCACATTCCCTGATAGACTGCACGAATGAGAACAATAAACTCACCATAGTTTGTGCAAGTCAGAATTGCTTTTTAGCCGAAGCTCATCTTCTGTCCACGAGCGACCGGGTCGCTTCTTAGGCCGCAGTTCTGATTTACCAAAATTGGCCTCGTCATCATAAAACTGTCGAAACAAATCTTTGCCTGTGGAAGCAGGCCGAAACACTTGAAGAGTGGGGCTTTTGCTAAAAATGAGTTGATGTCGATTAGGCAAGGGTCAGGCTTTCGAATCAAAACGTACCTTACAAGAGCAATTGTCCTAGATAAGGAAGATAAAAACATCACTGCTCTGAAATCAACTGTATATATTCGCCTCTGGAGCAAGGCATGCAAGGAACAATAAAATGACTTTTATTCATCTACTCCTAAACTTGCATGCAATAATTGCGAAGCAGGAAATAGTACAGTAGGAATCACTGCGTCCGGCCTGATTTTGCCCACCGCAAACTTAAATACAACTTTCGGAATGCAAAGCTTAACGCGACGACATGCGCAATATTCGCTGATTTATTTAATGACTACGGTAGGGCTGCCGACAGTGCAATGCAATCTCAGCTGCTTAATTTGACGGCCGTATCCATTTTGACCGCTTGTTCATCTGCGTGGAAGTTCTGTGCGAATTTCTGGGATAGGCTTTCATTTTCTTATTTTTTATTGCGTCTAGCTAAGACTTCTGGGTTCATAACGTGGTTCTAATGAGCTTGTGTTGGTTGAGCCCATTGAATACATCTTAGAGCGCAGGCAAGGAATAGCTAAGCCAGTCTCGCATGAAAGCGATTCACAATATTAGTTCCCCCGATGAGTCATGTTCAGGGAGCAATTTTTCCCTTTACTGGGATCCTCTGTAGTGTGGTGTACGGGCTACGCAAACACGGGCTTGTTAATCGATTTTCATTCTCAGCTCTTTCAGGGTAAACAACTCCGGGAGGAGTTCACACAAGGCAAACTGGTATGTCAATCACCTTTGCAAGTTAGTAATATGAATTAAGTTTTGTTTTATTTCAGTCGGCCATATTCAATTTTCAAAGTCTTATTTCTGTGATATTGCTGCTTATCTGCACCTGTGCCTATATAAGATCTTTTGCTCCAAAACTGATTGACCGAAATAAGGAAGGGTGAGTTTCAAATTCAGTCTAGATCGTGGCACCAACACAGTTTCGGGAGAGGCACTCGTGGCAGCGCAACTACGCCCGTTCCGTGTGTATAAGCTGCTGCGACTCTAGTCATCTGCGCTCTGTCAAGTATGAGCTTTGGAAGGGAAAGTGACACATACTGCTGCGATGCTACGGTGGCCTATTGAACCTATAGTCTCGTGTAAAAATCTTATTCATTCGTATAAAAAGCTTGTATCTGGCGTAATTGATGCCTTTCAGGTTGCTTGGAGTGTTCTGGAAGTTGGCTCGTATTGGCGAGCGATTGAGTCCTTGGGTAGCTGCGAGCTGTTTTTGTATGGCCTTTGTTGTCCTGTTTCTGTAAATTTATCGTCAGCACTAATGGGTCCAATGAGGTCTGGACGGGTTGACGAAACTGGTTATGAGATAAAGAAGCGACAGCCTCAGAAACCATCTGGGATTCTCACAGGGCGTAATCACTTCTATGTTACCAAGTGAGTTACTACTTTTCATACGAATGGGTGCTATACAAACGAATGTTATAGTGATGAACAAATTTAGGTCATTTCATTTTAGATTTGCTAGTTTTACTTTTTTTTATTTAGAAAAACTTCTATCTCTTCCACGATGAAACGTATTGAAGAAATGCTTCACAACAAAGAAACAGAGGTGATTCCGAGAGTTCGTCCGTGCCTTTTAGTTTCTATTTGGTCCTTATGCTTGCTTTCTCTGTTTTCAGTTGATTCCTTTTATTCATAGTATTGCAACACTCCATGCATACGTACCCTCAGCTGTGTTATCGTTGTTCTCAAATACTAATGACGAGACTTCGAGTAACACAAAAATGAAGAAAAAGCCAGCCTGTAATGTCTTTTAAAGAACCCATGCTGAACCGCTCTTGTACGAGCATAAGGCGAAGAATGGGCACGGTCGGAATAGTTTTCAGTTGCTGGTGCACCACTTTCTCCTTATTACCTCACTTTCGCCGTTCGAAATGGAGAAACTAAGTAGGGGAACAACACGTCGCCAGGAAACCTTTAAAAATGGAAACTGGGCGTTGCCGTGGTTGGTGGGCGGGGCCCATGGCCTGGTCGCGAGTGGGTCGGCCTTTCATAAGATGTGATCCTTGCTTAACAACGGCGGTAACAGCACAAAATTTTTTATATGTACCACAGAAATTATTCCTACAGAAATGTATTGCTTTTATATTTTTTCTTAGAAGGTTGTTCAGAATTCTTTTCTTAAGATTTATATTCACGGATTGGGTTCATCGCTAAATCGAGCAATGGTTCTTGCACTTGAAGTGCAGAAAAATTTTACTGATGCTGTATCCCTAAATGTAACAACCTCTACCGTTAACGTAAGTACTTCCTCGTGCGAGTTACGCTTCATTCCCTTATTTCTTCTACAACAGTTATTTGAAGGTGACTGACGACTTATTTCCGCTAAGTGACGAATTTGAAATGGGTGTACGTAACCGACCTCTATCTGCTATACAAATCCATATTTGCCGCGTAAAAGTTTAACTCTTTTGAAGCCATATCCTATTTTTGTTTCCTTTTTTAATTATTCTGTTGTTACTACTGTTTGTTATTTTAATGGGTGTTTTTGGCGATAAATGATATTATATTGTGGTTTAAATAGTGTGTATGAGTGAAATGCTGGTTGTATTTCTACTTCTTTATTGTTATCGACTGAACAACTGATAAGCAGCGCATCACACTAATTCGAGTCATGGAATAATGTCGTTATCGCCCTGTCGGACTTTATTTGTGTGAAGCGTTCGAGAGCTTGGTGGAGTTCGATCTTTCGGTAATGGCAAGAAAGCGGCAAGGATAGCGATTGTTGGAAGTGGTCCCGCAGGTTCGTTCATACTCTTTGTTGACTTGAATAGCTTCAGAGATTGCCTAGAATTTCTCTGTCAGCAAGACTTGTGTGAGGAAGATAGAATCTTATAGACAAACTTTACTCACGTGAGGACGGTCCTTTCCATGTGCGACGTGAATGGTCCGCCGAAGCAGTAACACCCACTTATTACCGCTCAAAGTTTTACGGGCACGGGTTGTGTTGGTTGCCGTCTAAATATTACACCCGCGCTACCTCAGTGTGCAGCAATCTCACCGATACCAAGATCCTGCTGCGACACATGCGCTTAACTGTGGAGGAGAACCTGAGTTCAGAAGGGCGCAGCGTAGTAGGGAGCAGGGACACAACCCTCAAACCCTGTTCTTGCACTTTGAATTGAGAAAATGGCACAGTACTGCAGCAAGACCATTTCGAGTGGCGTGGCTGTTGAATTGCTTTCCCCTGAACATTCTTCTCTTTACACGGACTAGGATTGCAACTACGAACGCAATAAGGAAGAATATCGTAATAAAGTTGAGTTATGTGCAAAAGTCTGACCCAGGCGAGACGCGAACCCGCATCCCCCGCCTGACTTTCGCCCTTGGTGCACATGGGTATTATTACCTTGCGAAGTTTTCGGTGGAATCAGTTTGAGCTAACTATATGAATCGTCATCCGAAAGAGCGACGGTCGTATGTTGTGGCGGACATTTCCGCTTGAACGTTGGGACCATCAGGCCTCTGATGACGATTCAGAGGCTGACGATTTCAGCCGTTCAAGCGTTGGGCGATGTTGGGTGTATGTTCCACCTCACAACCTCGTAAAGAGTAACCGTATGACACCTATAGCAAACATGAAGATGTCACGAGGAAGGGAAGTTGGAGATTTTTATTAATAGGCTTTTAACTACTTCATTGTGGACCAGCTCGCTGCCAAACGGAACGTACCCCTAGCGTTGCAAAGCTTTTACACCCACATGGCCGGAGTACCACTGAATTATTCGACTTCACATGGTCTCCTTTTAACCGAAACGGATTTTGAACTGGCCTCGCTGTTGTCATTTGGCAGCAATACTTCAGGGGATTGAATACAAGTGCCGAGATAGTTCTATTTTCATCATTTTTATTGTTGCCATTCAACTGCAGCTATCATTATTTGATGAGATCCCCTACTTCAGGCTTATTTTCATGTGGGTCATTGTTACGACGCTTGCCGGACAGCAAGTTCGATGTATTTGATGCATCTCCCGTTCCATATGGTCTTGTACGGTACGGAGTTGCACCAGATCATCAGGAGGTAATATTTGCTTCCTGCCTTTTAACTGATTTATTGGGTTCATTGCTGTTTTCCAGATGAAAAATTGCATAAACATTTTTGATCGTATGTTCGAGGCCAATCGGGATCGTCTCTCACTGTACTGCAATGTGAGGTACACGTATTGCGAATAGTTCACCGAATGCAGCTCTTGAGCCGCTGAATATGAGGTCATTTCAGAATAGGGTTTGACGTTGCAGTGGAAGAGTTAACGAAACATTATGACGCCATCTTGCTTGCTTACGGTGCCCATCGTCCGCGTCGTCTGGATATACCTGGATCAAAATCGAAAAATGTCATCTCGGGATCAGATTTTGTCTCATGGTATAATGGAGTACCTAATGCTAAGGTGTTTGCAGTCAGTTTGTTACTTCTCTCTGTCTTTCCTGCTTCTTTTTATTTATTTACTTTCTATATAGTTCTTCATATGTTTCTGGCCAAAAGCGGATTTAGTTTATACATCAGTCTTTCCCAAATGCTGCTGTGTATAGAGAAAGCGGGCACACGTTGTACGTTGAGATACACAGCAGGGGCGTCATTCTTGCCTTTGTGAAAAGTTTCGGTTGTTGATTTTTTATCGGCTTTTTCTCTTTCACATGTGCTACACCTTCCACTCTCGTCGGCACCTTTGTAAGGAAAAAGTGAGGATTTTCGATAAAAAGTTTCTGAAGAGTGGAAGGAAGTTGAGCCAGTCAAGAAAAGTTATGAGCTACGTGATAGGGAAAGAAGAACACCCAACACGTACTCGCACCGCCGTGCCAAGAGAAAAAATGTCGAGAAGGGTCGTATTTCCAGAAAACTGTCCCCAACCGCGGGACTGGTCTGCTAGGAAACTGTGGAGAATTTTTATCGTTTGAATCGAATTTAAAATGCACCTTTTCTTCAGGCTCCCCTTCTAGATGATCCTAACGTGGTAATCATTGGAAACGGTAATGTAGCGCTTGACTGTGCAAGAATGTTGGCGACGGCGAAACAACTTGGAGCCACGGATATCCCGTCAGATGTTCTTACTGCTCTTGAAGACTCAAAAGTGACCAATATCAAGATCATTGGACGAAGGGGACCTGAGAATGTGAGTTTGTTTGGTTCGAATCGGGGCACTACATGAATTATTGCGTATTGTAATCATTTTTACTACAGTAGTTATTTTTCTTTTTTATCGTTCTTAGGCATTGTTCACAGTATGCGAAACGGGGGGTTGGGCGAAAAGCAAAAAATACGCATTGATCGGAGAATCGCCAACCGCTAGTTTCGCCGAACCGCCGCGGTTCGGCGGTTGGGCGAAAAGCAATAGATGCGTATCGATTTCGCTGGCGAAAAACGCCAGGCGATCGAGCTAGCGTTTCGTCGAAGGCGAAAAACGTCGCGGTTTGGCGAAACGCCCGTCGATTCGTATCAAAACCCTTTCGCCCAACCGCCAGACTCTTCGCCCAACCGCCAGTCGATACGTATCGAAAGCTTTTCGCCGAAGCGTTTCTTTCTAGAGAAACGCTGGGCCGCAGACTGTGAACAATGCCTTACTGGTCGTAGTGGACACCAAATATCAAAAGCTTTGTACAATTCCTGTAGTTCATTTGTCCTACTTTCCAGGTATCTTTCACGATCAAAGAGCTGCGGGAGCAGTTCAAGATTCCTGAATGGAACACAACAGTAGAAATGGATGAAGAACAGGTTAACAGCTTGAAGGAGGCAATGCCAAGAATGGAGAGGCGGAAGAAAAGGCTCATGAAGGTATACTCTGTCACCGTTTGGCTGTCTGCTGTCGATTCTCTGCCGATTACTTTTCCGAAGATAACTATTTATTCAGGTACTTCTTGATGGCGTAGGACCTGCGCAAGGAGAGAGGCAATGTCGATTTCTAAGTTTTAGAATACCAAAAGAAATTGTACCTGACGAAAATGGCCGGGTTTCTGTCGTGAGGTTGGTGCTTCATTTTCGCTTTCCCTGCTCAGCTTCTCGGAGCGATCACTTGTTCAGGTTATTAAATAAACACACAGGAAATGAAGAAGAATTACCATGTGGTCTCCTTATTTATAGTATAGGATATCAGGCAGTTGTGCTAGATGGATTGCCAAAAAATGAAAAGGTTCATTCTGTTTATTAATAACTGCTTTTTGCGTCGTACTTCACGCTCCGAAAGTTACCATAAGGATGCTGAGTTAGAGGCGAAATCACCACTCCAAACGGGACGTGCCCTACGCCTAACGCTGTCCGTAGTAGAGCGGCCCCGGTGGCGTAATACATAGCGCTCTCGCCAAGAAAGTGTGATGTGCGGTTTCGAGTCCCACCTGGGGTCAGACATTTGCCCTCAACTCAGCATTCTTGAGATGGTCCTCAGAGCTGGACGCGAAATTGGACGCAGCTCGCTTCGCTGAAGTTTTTCATCGCTCGTAAGAGGTCGGATTGTTTTCCGCAACTATTGGCCAGAGGAGGTCTTGCCGTTGGGAAATGTTTTGCGAAGTACGACACCCTCGAAAGGTCGTTCTCTGGTGCGACCCCCCCCCCTTCCTCATACCTCATCCTGCTTACCATCCTTTTCAACCAATACATCCCCTCACCTTCCTCCAGCGACCAAGGACGGTCCCCTTGGCGGCTTCCAAGGAGTCCTGCTCTTTGCTCTCAACGTTAAAAAAACATTTTCAGCTAGTTTTTGTTGCATTGTGCCCAAAGCCTTGTGTAGTAAAATTTGACAATATTCCGTGTTTCAGAGGTGGAGGGTAGATCTTTTTCAGGGTATGATAGCTATGAAAGATGGTAGTAGAGTGGACATGCCATGTGGTTCTTTTGTTTATGCGGCCGGATGGTGTGCTCATGGACCGCGAGGTGTTATTGTTGACACGCAACAAGAAGCCATAGCAGTGGCCGATCATATTGCCGAGGATGTAATGTCCAGGAACGACATTACTGGTGAGTCCCTTAAATTTATTTCGTCGTTAAAATGTTAAATCGCCGCGATCTATCGTTTCTTTATTAAATTTCAAGCGAAACATTCGACACTGCTTGCAATTTATAGGCTCAGTTTTCAAAATACTTTTCAGATTCTGACCGAAGCTTCTTCTACGACAATATTTGGGGGAAAAAGTTGCTTGGATTCCCTAAGACGAACGAATATGATCCTGGGAGTCGCTCGGCCTGTGAAAGCACAACAATTCCTTATCGGTAGATCCTCAGGCCTCCACAATGCGTACCCATACCATCGTAGTCGCTGCTCTCGTGCCGTTAGCTCGGAGCCGTCCGTGTGATTGCCTTGTCATCCCCGCTTCCGATTCTGTCTAGTCGTGTCCAGGCGAGGCCCATTTCAGCATCGAGGCCCATTTCAGCATCCTCGTTTCAGCTAAGTGGAGCTGTGTTCCATGTTTTCTGCGTGTGGCCCAACACTCGCTGCTGCAAACCGTGTACACCTAAGTTACAGAAAGTTAATAGTAAATATTGGCAGGCATTTTTGTATTGGAGGATTTGAAGCCGTATAGTTCCTAATGTGGTGTAATTCATTAGAGGAATCTGTCCTATTTTGAACGCAGTTCTGCAGAGAATTTCTACTTAATCTAACAAATATTTCGAAAGTCTGAATATGCTAAATATTGATATTCTGGCAAAAGTGTATTTCAAGGGACCCTTCGCGGAGTGCAACCAATTCTGGATGCTAGAGGAATTAACTATTTGACCTTTGATGAATGGAAGAAGATCGATGAAGAAGAAGTGAAGAAGGGAGCTGAAAAGGGAAAAGTGCGTGAGAAGATGACAAAGTTCAATGGATTCCTACGCAAGCATTCTCAAGTAGAGCGTGGATAGTGGTTGTTATATAGTAGGGCTGTTAGGTCATTATAGGTCATTTTCGACATATTAGTGATACTCATTTGCTCAATTCTTTGTTCATTCACCATGAGTTCTCAATGATCATGCGTACTAGGTGCTGTGATAATTACTCTATGTGTCGTGTTAAAACTATTCGAACGTTGTTGAATATTTAGCCTTCATCTTGTCCTGTTTTATAGTCTTTATATAAACATTGATAAATATTCTGTGTCAGTGAAAGCAGCGGATTGTGTGTTTGAGCACCCTGTATCGAACTGCTGTTTGATATAAGTTTTTCCATTCATGTATCGGCCTTCAGAAATTAGCAAATGGCATCGCTCGAATCAAAGCTTTTGGACGGCAAAAGTGCAGGCTACTGTAGTAGCTCTGATGAGGATGAAGGCGGCTGGTCAGTGGCTAAGGATGAAGATGAGCATCAGGTAAGCTTCCTTTGCAGTTTGTTCAGCTTTGACGCTGATGGCTGCCAGGCGAAGGCGCGCCATAACCTTCGTTGCTTCCCACGAGACGATGCCGCGCGTACTGTCGTTTTCTGCCTGAGGCCAATTAGAAGCAAAGAAAAGCAAACATTGGGAAAGGAATACACTCCACAGCACAGATGACGTTTCCGCGTCGGTCATCGGCACGAACCATTCACGTCTAGCCAACCCCCGAGCTCGTCAGTGCGACAGGTTGAAGACATGAGGACATGGACTACATAGGGGAAGGTGTTGAGAAACAGGATAAAACGAGAGAGAATGTAAAAGTTAAAGAGGTTACATGCAAAGTTAATACTATCAAGATAATGATAAATTATGCATAGTAATCAAAGAGGGATATAACATGATGTTGGATTGTTAATAGGTTAGACCTACTGAGAGATGTTAGCAGTATAAAACAATGTCCAAGCGGATTACATAAATAAAATGAAATAAAAGGCGTAGCGGAAGGAGGAGAATTAGTGTTGAGCACCACTGCAAATGAGAATACCTGTCACTAGTCTCTTTATCTTTCTATAGTTATTTGCAATAGAGTATTTGTAACTTATGAATTTATTTTTGTAAATACATTTAACAATGCTAGTAATAATAAAATCTTCTTCGTAGCCATTTTTCAAGAGTGTTGTGACCATATCTGTTATTTTGCTAACGAAAACATTGAAGAACGAACAAGTGTTCGCTAGCCTCAAAGTTTCCGTATATATGACAGAGGATTTGTTAATAAGGGAAATGTTTGTGTCACTATACGGAAATCTGATTACATTGAAGCTAAAATCATCCGTTTTATTATACAGCTTAGTACTAATTTTACCGTTAGTAATATTAATTGTTAAATCTAAATAATTGCTTGAAACTTCACTATTATGAGTTTTTTCAATTGAAGGGTATTTTGGTAAACTTGAGAAAGTTGTTCATCCACATCATCATCAGTTTGGTTATGCACAACAAGCAAATCATCCATATATCTATATGGAATGAACAGCTTACTTTTATCAAACTTTTTAGTTTTAGCATAGTCATACTCCATGACAGAAAGCGTAAGATCTGCCAGTAGTGGACTAAAATTGCCTCCTTGTGGGACACCTTTAGTTTGCTTGAAACGTATTATTAGCAAAGAGACAAAAACTGTTACGTAAAAGATAGTCAATAAAGTAAACTAAATCGCTGGATTTGTAATATCTGTAGTTGTTCTTAAATTCTTTACCATCTGTATAGAAAACATGGTAACCATTAGTGGCAATAAAGGATCTGTTGGCATTTTTGAAGCAAATGTTAAGAAGTTCTTGCATTTTCTTTATAATAAGATCATGTTCTAAATTTGTGAACATGTCCGTGAAATCCGCAGTGTAAATTCTGAGATTGTCGAACGTGATGTTGTGTAGTTCTTGACTTATATTAATATTACTTATAGACCAGTATGTCTTGATAGTCCTGTTGCGATTCTGTATTACTCTGGCGTAGTTAATAAAGTGATTTTTGAGATGTGTGAAGATTATGCGTAATTCTTGGGCCAAAGGCTTAACACTACTGCTATGTGCACCTGTGATGTATCTGAATTTAACTGGATTCTTATGTAGCTTTGGTAAGGCATATATAGTAGGTATTTCTGCATCAATGGATATATTGATATTATTCTTTACACAAAGGAATTTATGCTTCAATATTAAAGAATACTTGTTAGTATGAGGCATTAATTCATATGTGTTATTACTGTTTCCATAGACAAATGTGTGGTTGGCAGCATCATAAGAAATGCCCATTTCATGCATTATGTTCAAAAGGTAGAACTTCTTGCAGATGATGCCATAGTTATTATTTGCTTTGTCGAGAGGACAGAACACGTATTTTTCTTGATATTGTTTGATTAAGTTGTAAGGTATGTGTTCTCCTACATTTTCAATATTAGCCTTTGTCAGTAGAGGTTTAACTTTGTCATGGTAACATGTAACGAAAATGTTTCTGTAATAGATTAACCTTGTGATTGCTAGCTTTGTATTTACATTCAAATAATTCATAACCTTGATGAGTGTATCTTCAAACACCATTTTAACTTCTTGTCTTGTTATGCCTGTGTCTGAACGATATTTAGTCCCTTTACTCAGTAGTCTTCTGAAACTCTCTTCTTTTATAAGATTTACATTCCCTGTGATAACGTGTTCATAATTTTTATCCACATATTCTTGTACTGTATTTGTAGTACATATACAATCGTTGTTGAGTATTTGCTTCAATTTTTCGTTGTCGAGATCTTTCAACACTTTGTTGTAGTTGCAAATGTTGCTAGCCATTGTGTTGTTGTACTTATAAATAATTCTAATTGGGGTGAAATCACTAATCCTTCCATTATCGCTGAGTAGTATATCTCTAACAGTACGTGAATTGAAGATTCTGTTGAAGGGTATTTCATTAAATACTCTGCTCTTGAAACTGACCTCTACATTATGATAGTTCTTTCTTGGTGATTTCTTTTGTGGTAGTGTCAAAATGAAAATGAGCTAGCAGGCAAAATATTAAGTACCTAGTCTTATTATTTACGCTCTGTAAGAAGTCTGCGGACATGGAGAGCTCAATAAGTTTCTTAATTTCTTCTTTACGCAGACTCTTGAGCATTCTGTAGTACTGAACAGGTTTGAGTGTTTCATTATTACTCGTTATCTCTGCTATAATATTGTCGTATGTGTTTATTTTACTCTTTTTAGTGTTTCTTTTTCCTCTATTTACCCTTTGTTTTGTAATTTTAAGAGAGAGAAGGGATGATTGCCCTTGTACATGAGAGGATTATCTATATTTGTAATGTTTCCATATCCCTTTATGTTATCGTTCAACCCAAAGGGATATGCTGTCATCAGAAGTTTGATCCAAAAAAGTTCCTTTTCTATTAATGTGGTTTTATCATTAGACTTCATACAGTCTAGTACTTGTACCGTTATACCTCTATCACATTTGTAAAAGTGATTATATAACGGTGTGTGTACCTTGTGTGAAAAAATATTAGAAAGATGTTCTCCAATTCTTTCTTTTAATTTTCTTACTGTCATTCCAACATATTGTATCCCACAGCCATTGCATGTTAAACAGTAAACTACATTTTTAGCGTTACAATCTGCATCTGCTTCTTTATATGTGTTAATGTATAATTTGTAACGTTTGATACAATGTAATTATCTGTATTAGTTATATCACATGTTCTACACTTTCTTTTACATTTGCAACCCTTGTTATCGTTACCAAAGTCGTTGAGTTTGAAGTGATTGGCCCCACCCCTTACCTTGTGGAACCGGGTGGTGGAGTAATAATTTGTAGCGCGATTTCGAATCATTTTTTGACCTAAGATCTAAGCGCATGAGCGGTCAAACCCATACGCAGAGAGCAGACTTCCCGAAGGTTCGGCAGGGCTGCTGCCCAGGGGGTGGCTCTCCCTGCAAAACTACCAGCGCTGGGGGCGCCAAAAACTGTCCGCTCTTGCCGTTTTTGACTTGTATAACCCCGTCAGCGCTAGTCCCTATTTTTTTTGAAGAGGTATGGCCCTCTTTTTTGAGAGGCATGGCCCCTCAGTGTGTTAATGATAGTGTGTGAGAAGTATGGGACATGTTAAAAAAACAAAAATGAAAAAAAAAAAAAAGAAAAGAAAAAAAAGGGAAAAACGCGCAGGGCCAAATATTAATAAACAAGGATAGCAAATGCAACGAAAATCATCTATAGCCTAGGCTGAAATGTAACACATGCGTTCACATATGTGCACAACCTTGATATATGCAAGAGTTTTAGGGTTCATTTTTATATCAACTGTGAAAAATGTAGTTAACTGGAGTCAGTGTTGGAAGCAAAAGGAACAGTCTGAAAGCAGATAGGTGTGAGGAGACGTCAACTGACGCAAGAGGACCACTGGTCCCATTGAACACCATGGGTGCAATCAAAGAACGACCACTGGCCGCGTATTGGACCACTGGTCCGAATAAAGCACCACCGGTGCCAGAGGCGATTGCCTCTAATGAGGTAAGCGAAGGAGTGTGGTATGTTGAGAAACAAGATATAACCCGTGTGAGCAGTGACCGCTTCCATGAGCCACCGTCTCCCGTAAAGTACTGTATCGCCGTTTTCTTGGTTTTCAGTGTTCTAAAGTATTGATCGTTTTGATCTTTATGATGTCGATCGCGGCTTACAGAGTGCTTGAACCTCTTTGGAAGCGCATTATTTCTGCTCTCGTCTGCTTCTTCTCATCTGCGTAACTCTTGTAAAAAACCCCTATTACTTCGCACATTCGAATTTGGAAATGATAAATGGATCATTTACACAGAATTCCACCCCTGAAATCTCCATACGGAGTCAGCGTCATTTTTTTTCGCTGCGGCTTATGAAGCGTGTAAGGATTGACGGGGGAAGCGGCGCCAGACCTAACTTCCACCTCTTGTTGTAGCGACCAAGCGACTAGACTCTGGCGTACGGTTCTGTCCAGTCGTATTCCACCAAATGTTTTCGCTTACTCGCTTGAACTGGCGGAAAATGAGCTGACGGCGCGCCAAGCTCCCGCATGACTGACACACCCCATCATCCGCAGCGGAAAAGGCCACGTTTTCTCGCACCTTCTAATTCTCTGACAGTCGTTGTCTGTCCGCCCTTTCTCCTTTTCCTGGGCCATGGCGCAAAGTTCATTCAGTCGGCTAACATCATAGTGTTTCGGAACAGCAATCGGCTTTTGATTATTATTCCCATCAAACTTTCATGAGCAGTATTTAGCTTTGAAGAGAATTAGATGAATGATTTCTTCCTATAACGGCACTAAAATGGTTGAAATCATGAGCATGGTTATACTCGCAAAATTATTTTTTCTGTTGTCGTCAATACGCAGGTGAACAACAAGCGATCCATTTCAGGCTAATGTAATGCGCAGTATGGGTCCGAGTATCAACACAGGTGCAAAAGGAGTACTAAGCGAGTACGCTGCTTACAAGGAACAAGCTGTAAGAGTTCGTGAGGCTAAGGATAGAGAAGTTTTGAGACAGGCAAGAAAAGGCATGCTTCAAGGAACAAATCTGGAACGAGAAGAAGTGAGACATATTTGCTTGTTACGTTATTTTAGAGTTCACTATAAAACTCCTTCGGAAGCGCTTAAGGCTCAAAAAAGCGATCGCGATGATGAAGAAATTTGGAGAGTATCCGTGAACGTCGCCTTGCAGAAATGCGAAAAGCAGCAGCGGGAAGGATGCTGGAGGTCGTTAGCAAGGTTAGTAGTTTGCACTCATCCTACCTTCACTTACTTAAGTATTCACAACTAACCTTCAGGAACAATTCACAAAAGCTATCGACACGTGCGAAAATTTGCTGTGCGTCCTTATATATGAGCCTGATGATGAAATGTGCGACAAGATGACTCATATCTGCAAGGTTAGTGTTTGAGCAATGAAAATGTAGTTGCGAGAAGTCGCGATAGGCCAGCAGTGCCTACAGAAGATGACGACACAGTTCCGAAGAATTTAAGTGAGGTACACATCTAATCGCTAATGTTCCCATAGCGCTGACGGACCTGGATCCTTTTGGGATGCTCCATGTACACGATTTATATCCAAGATCTAAGGACAAACTGTACCCTCACTTCCGAGGATCTTAGTCCTTGCCATGTGGAAGGTGGATGGGTACGCAGTGCAATAGCGTCCCACTTTCCCGTTCCAAATAGCTGGAGGGTAGTAGCCTGTGTGAGTTCTCCATACTTCGCCCGTGCTGTATTCAAGGTGCAGCACTTGCGTCTATAACAAGGTCCCTCAGTGGTAGGGAACAGAACACGCACTAACTGGTAGGGAACAGCCAGAAGTGAGAGGGCGCAGGCAAGTAGTGCGCGACTATAGTAAGGCGAGTGGGCGGCCGTGCGGCAGCGCGGGTAGATTGCATGTGGCATCCGAGTATCACTGCCCTCCAGCATCGTTCTCATGCAGTTCTGAAAGAAAGAAAAAAAAAGGAAAAAGTGGCACACTCCTGCAGCTGCGGACCTTTGCACCTTACACTTCTGCGAGGAGCAGGATCACGTGGATGGGTATACAGTCTGTCCTTAAAACCAGCTGGCGTACAAAGTAATCAACTTGCGTATGAAACTCCGATTCATTTTCGCATCAAGATTTAGAAGGGCGTAGATGGCGAGCTTTCGTGAGACGTTGTAAGTCGAGTATATGAGCTTTTTTTCGGTGTTGTAAACCGAGTATAGAAGCTACTTTCTAGGATGCGTCATGCATTCTATTTCTATTCCGTTTCATTTTTTCCTTTTTTTTTCAAGTCGTAGTGTGGCCACAATGCAAGGTGGGAACCGATCTGAAATTTGCCCCTAGGATGGCACACGTGGTAAACGAGCCGTTGTTAACTTTCGTCCACTTTAGTCTCACAGCTCTACCCATGGTAAGAAAGTATCTGCTGAAGAGATATCCGTGAGGCACCTGTAAGGAGAAAGAAAGGGGAGCCTGAACACAGTATGAGTCTTCATTCCTCCTATTGCTTCGCATAGCTACGTCGCATAAACCATTTAAACGTTGCTGTCAGTTATTAAGTCAGACGTAGGAGCCGCTGAGCCTCTACGGTACTTTGTGTGGCCGTATATAGAGTATATGAAACATCATATTTGAAGTTGTCTCAAAGGAAGGTAAAATAGTCCCCATGGCTTATATATATGTGGTTGGCCATTCGTTTTTTCAGAGCTGGTAAAGATATCTCACCAAGTTGAACTTACCGGTCCATGATATAATCTCCATGCATACCCACTACCTTTCGCCAACGATCGGGTAGAGAGGCAACTCCATCCTCCCAAAAGCTGGCCGGCCGCGACTCGGCCCAGTCCTCGATCACGTCCTCGAGGTCGCGCTCGTTCTTCAGCTGTTTTCCGTCCAAGAAATTTTGCATGGACCGGAAGATGTGGTAATCGCATGGACTAATGTCCGGGCTATACGGTGGATGCGTGATCGTCTTGATGCCCAGCCTGTCCAGGACGGCCTGAGTATCTCTCGCTTTGTGGGGGCGCGCGTTGTCTCAGAGCAACCACGGATTTGCAAGTTTCTGGGACAAGGCATATCTTCGATGCCATAGTTTTCATTGGTGAGGCGAGTCCACCATTTTGACATCCAGTTCTTAGAAGGGGTGTTATTACCAAACTGCTGACGCATCCTGGTCGTGGCCTGACGTCTGGAGATGCCCAGGTTGTAGTAGTCCAGCAAACATCGGCGGTGGTGGTGATCACTCATCTTCACTGCTTTATTGTGGGAAGAGCAGGAAAGGAAATTTAGAGCTAGCTAGCTCACAAGGAAAGGATGGTTGGTCGAAGTGGCCATTTAGACAAGATGCATACACACTGATGCGTCTTCGGACGCTGATTTCAAATCTGCTTTCCATATCTGCTAAACGATTCTCTGAGCAGAGATATGCAGGAGGTTGTTGTACGGAGCACAATTGAGCTTGGTACACAAATGAGACGTGAGTCGTCACACGAAGTGCATCGGTGGCCTAGTGGGTAGTGTGCCGCGCTCAAGTATGCGAGGTGAGAGGTTCGAATCCCTCCATGATCGCCATTTTGCATTTTCTCAAAAATGCCTCCTGCACATCCGGAAAGCACTTCTGCGAGGCTAGGAGACCTGATTCTACCAAAAAATTTTTATTTCTGATGTGATAGAGCCATTCTGGAACACTCCTAGTGGGAACTCCTGATTGTTGGTTTCGGCGGCATTATTCGTTCCGTCGTGTTGTGAGGCCAAACTGATTCCAGATGGCATGGAAGCCAAAAGTGGATGTCGTGGTTGTTATCAGGACCGTCAGTAACCAACAAGGACTAAGATTTAGCGAGGAACCTCCACTGCTCACAGAGATTTGAATCGGCGATAGTGCCAGCAACCTTTAGGAATTGGCTGCCTATGGTTACCCCACTGTATCGAAAATAGGTCGAAATCTCAAATTTGGTTGAAAACTTGTCTCTAGGGCTAATTTGAGCCCCAGAGCACGAATATCACACTCGTTCGGCGTAAAAACGCTTGCCAAGGACGTTGCAGGTTCCTGCACACCCTGCCCCTCCAGAATGCGTACAAGACGTTTTCACGAAATATGACTGCAGTGTTGATTTCCAGGGCACTGAAGCACCTCTAGTTTCAGATTCCAGCCAATTTGGGCAATTTGGAGCACCTCATATACATGCTGGAAATGGGTGTGACCTGGTCAAAAATCCTGCATAACTTTGTCCAGGAAATCGTTTAGCAGATATGGAGGGCAGATTTGTAATCAGCGTCCAAGGGCCCATCGGGCAGTATACGTCTCATTTCGAATGGCCACTTCGACCAACGATAGCCCATCGCGAGTACTTTCAGTATTGCGAAATCTTTATGCAAAATCACAACGCGTTGCGTAACGCGACGCTGTTTACAAATGGCCAACGAACTTTGTGGACACCCTAATAGTTTGATGCTATAAGCTTATAGGCGTAGTTAAGCTATTTGAAAGTGGTTAGCGTATTTATTTTCAGGTTCTGGCTGCTGATTTTCCTCGCGTTAGATTCATGCGAGCCAGAAGCACGCTGCTTGAGATGAGCAAAGCTTTTGTAAGTTTTCAAATGCTTCCATGAACTCTGAAAAATTTTCATAGCTGATGTTTATTTCAGACAGAGCAAGCGCTACCCACCTTACAGGTCTATTCCAATGGTAATTTGGTTGGGAATTTCGTGAAAATACCTTCTCTGTTGAGAGGAGAAATTGATGTCAAATCAGTCAGAAAATTCCTCAGAAGGTGAGGGAAATCCCTTCTTATATTAAGATTCAGTCTCGCATGGTGGAACTACTATTTTAGGCAACATATCGACTTGGTATATGGTAATTACACGACTGACTCGGAGTGCTCGACTGATGAAGACATTGATTGATTTTGTAATTTGTTCTGTTTATTTATTTTTGAATTAGTATCTATTTTTGAACTACCTGATCCTCACGTTACGGTATTACTACCTCGAGTATCTCACATCTTTGAGCTTTCTCTATTTGAGTAGTTTTTGTTCAGTTTTTAATACTTGATTTTCAAGCAGTTTTAGTTTTGTCATTTTGTGATATGGTTGTTTGAAAACATGCAGTTTTTTTGCGCTGGTTCGGCTTAGAGGGGGGGGGTGGGCATTTTGCTGGTTCACCAGTTTCTTGTGTTTCTTCAACTTGGTGAGACCTGTGTACTCATGTAAAGCCTCCAGGCGATGCAAGTTTTACGAGGCATAACTCCACTTCGATGGGAACTAGCAAAATGCCCCCTTCCTCGGCCAAGTAGAATAGCACCTTTTTTTAATTTTTAAAAGATTCTTTCTTCTAGTCATGTCATGTGAACTTGTTGTTTATGGAATAAACTGGTTTCCCTGAGGTATTCACGAATGAAGCGGTCATATCAGTACAGTACCGATCGTACTACTTAGTAAGATTTTTTTGTAGAAATAATAGGCTTTTTTTGCAGTCAGGGCGTTCATGTTCTATTTGAAATCCATGCTACCATTGTGCTTGGGATTCATTTTAGTCGTGAAAACAGTCCGAAGGTACCCTGCGGGCTTACAGACTCTATGAAAGGGAGGAATCGTGCATAAGGTGTGTGCACTCAACCACCTGCCCAAATTCGTATCAACTTACCCAGCAGTACGCGCGGGGAGACGTTATTTTTAATGTGCTGAAATGGGTTGCCTGCAAGAGGCTTGGATGGCGGCCGTTTATTTCTTTCTCGAATCTCATCGTGCAACCTGCAGCAGGGGATAGTAAAAATTCCACTAGTTTCAAAATTTATATTGCGTTATAGGTTCAATATGATATGAGCACATGTTCTGTCTTTTTGTTCATAAGATACGTAGATCACCTGTGCAATCTGGGTTGGAAGACAGACTTGCAAGATATTCGTAGACATGGGAAGTGATGACTATTCTTACTATAGATTTATTGCAGCTGTGAGCTTGGAAATGGCCACAGAAAGTGATGAGGCTCAGCAAGCTATACCTATGGGTATACTACTGGCTACAAAGGGAACAGCAGGCGATCGTCTTCTTTTCCTGTATCCTCCCTCACCGTCCAAAACTAATGGTAAGGAAAAGAAGAATATTGCTTTTGCTTTGTTGCGAAGATTTTGTTTTGTTTCTACTCGAGGGATTCATCAAATCATCGAGCGGGGTCTCAGGGCAACATGACATTTTCCAGCTACGCTCAAGGTTCCACTCCTCGGAATTTCTCTTGCCAGTACAAATCCACAGTTTCCTCTTCTGTGTGGCCCACCTCCTCTCACAACTTACCTACCACCCCACTACCAAATCCTCTCATTCATCCCACAAGTTTCTAGGGGGAGGAGGGGAGGGTGACATCCTTCCTTCTCAATCAACTATGAGACTCGACTGTCAAAACTAGTCGTTATATAGCAGCTTGGTGACGCCGCGAATTAAAAGTAATACAAAACGTGAAATAGGAATATTCTTCAGTGAGACCTCCTTCCCACCACCAACCAAGTCCCTCTCCTTCCCCCTCCAGTGGGTTCTTCTAATGAGAGTGGATGCTGAATCCTGGTAAGAGGGAAGGGGGCAGAGCGCGACAATAACGAGGAAATCGCTTCTTTAATCGTCCTTCCTGCCATTTCTTTGATTTTTCTTATGTTCGACTGCTGTCAGTGCTGTGAGTGAGGGTTCCTGTTTGCCACTAGGGGAACTGCGTTTTCAACAATGGCTGACCCACCCAGGAACTACTTACCTAGTCACAAGCGTGTCATGAGACCTCGCGAGGTCTTTAGCGCCCAGGTTTTCTACGCAGAGCTTCTGACGTCTATTTTTGATGTTAAGCACATGGTCTTACTGTTTTTCGGTTGCAGCTAAATCAACAGAAGCTTCGTCAAGCACGTTAGTGGACTCCATTCTGAAAACTGATCGTGATGCCAGATTCAAATCCTATGGTCCGTTCTAATGCCCAGAACCTTCGATGCACAAACTTTCTAGGTTTATCGCTTCTATTTTTTAGCTCCTACAACTTCTTCTCAGTTTCCGGTACTCATGACAAAACAGTTGGTTTACATCTGAAGAGACTTTTCCGAATTGCCTGAGAAGGTTGATCATATTTCACAGGTCTTTCCTTTTAGGAACATGAAGAAATCCGGCGAAATGTCGTTCCCCACACAGTTTATGTAAGTTGGCCAGAGCTGAGCAACCCTTATTCTGGCTGTGAACTGTTCAGTTATCATCATTGCTTTAGACTCTCTACATGCATGTTGGCGAATATACTGAGTGTCAAAGACTCAGCTGTCGGATGCACCATTCGAACTGAAAGTCGACAATGTGCGATTTGCCGGCCACCCGAAGAAGGTTTGTGTCGAAACATTTCATTCTCATTCATTCATGCACAACTGTACTTGCTATTATCAGCTTCTCCTTTGAGCCTCAAATCTCTCGAAGAACCTTGACTGGGAGAAGGCCTAAAATTGCTCGGAAAATGCTATGAATGAGAATATCTTTTAGTATCTTTAGTATCATTCCAGAGGAAATCGCCCTCCGTGATAGTTCACATTGGGGAACCTCGCAACTCCCGCACTTAACCGCAATGCAAACAGGCGCGCTTCGTATTAGTAGAGGCATTTTTACGATTTATCTGTTACTGCCGATACATCCTGTGAAGGCCTGTAAAGACGAGAATCTGCAGGGCTCATCTGCCAACTTTTCTCTGGATATTATCTAGCTGACCCTAGACACCTCTCACATTCTCGACGATCTAGCGTAGGGGAGAAAGAGGACAAAGAGGGAGAAGTAACGCACGTTGGCGTGGAAAAACCCATGAAAAATTTATATCTTGAATTTTTCTTCGGTTCTTTTTTCACAACAGAGTATGCCTCCGCTTTCAGCTCACAACCGCATCTGAGGGATCGTCGACGATATTTTCGATAGTTTTTGTGCTTCCAGCTTGCGTAGACTCTCATCTCGTCGAGTCTTTCCAGGTTTATTTTTGCTTGTTCTTGTTGATTTGGGCGGAAGCTAGACCATCCTTGACCTCTCCAAAGGTTCACTATCGCCAAACATTTTGGATTGCTATTTATGTTAACAGCTATTTGGCAGAATTTTCCTTTGTCTATTCACGGAAGCTATATGCTATCCAAACCGAGTTCCTGTTTTTCAATAATCTTTTTCAGCTACTAAGCAAGAAGCTTGCATTGGCGATTGATTCACTTCAGACCCAGCGTAGCTATTTTGCTGAGCAGGTCAGTGACTTGGCATTTCTTTTTTCTGAATAGATAGAATTTTTCGAATTGGTCCATTCGTTGAGGCGAGACTGCAGACTTTCCAGCTCGTGCAGCTGCCTCAGCAGAGCAGCGCGATTTTTTTTTCTGCTGACGACTTGTTTAGTTGTCTCCAGCTACTTCCGTTTCCCTTCAAAATTCTCCTTCATGGGTGAGCCTTCAGAGGGAGGAGAACAAGGGGAGAAGCAGAAAAAGTTGAACGGGAAGCCTTATGGCTGAAAGATCTAGGGCCCTGTGGCTTATTTAAAGTGCTTGCTCCCTAATACTAAGCAGAAGTTGAGCCTACATTGAGTTCCAACATGTGGCTTGATCGCCTGACAAGGAATGGATGGTTGGTCGAAGTGGCCATTTAAAACAAGATGTATACTCACTGATGCGTCTTCGGACGCTGATTTCAAATCTGCTTTCCATATCTGCTGAACGATTCTCTGAGCAGAGATATGCAGGAGGTTGTTGTACGGAGCACAGTAGAGCTTGGTATACAAATAAGACGTGAGTCGACGGTGTGCCTCGGTAGCCTAGTGGGTAGTATGCCGGACTCAAGTATACGAGGTCAGAGGTTCGAGTCCTTGATGGACGTGCTCTTTTGCATTGTTTCAGCAGTGCTCTCTGGAAGTTTTTAACACAGCCTAGCATGATCAGGGAACCTTGTCATGCCATGAATAGGGCTTTTCTTGGAAAACTGAACCATTCTCGCCTGTGAACACTTCTAATGATTTATTTTGCTCATATAGTGGGTACAAACAAGTTTTGTGATTCCAGAACAAATGTGATAATCCAGAACAAAGTGTTGGAAGCAAAAAAGTTTCTCGCAATGGGAACACCGGATAAAAAAATTTCCTTGCACTCTGCTGTGTTACAGGGTTCTATGACATTTGGAGGGAATGCATATTGAATAGGCGTTTCAAATTCAAAAGGGTTCGGGTCCTTCCTGGAGTTGTGGTTTTGCATTTTCTCAAAAATGCTCCCTGCACATCCTAAAAGCACTTTTGCGGGGTTAGGAGACCTGATCTTACCGAAAATGTTGTTTCTGAAGGAATGGAGCCATTCTGGAACACTCCTGAAGGATACCCTTGATTGTTGGTTTCGGCGGCATTCGTTACGTTGTGTTGTGCCACCGAAATAAGAACTGAGATTCAGCGGAAAAGTTGCATGGCTCACAGAGATTTTGATCGGCGATAGTGCCAGCGACCTTAAGGAATTCGTTGCCCATGGTTACCCCACTGTATCGAAAATAGGTCGAAATCTCAGATTTGGTTGAAAACTTGCCTCTAGGGCCCCAGAACACGAATATCACACTTGCTCGGCGTAAAAACGCTCGCCAAGGGAGTTGCAGGTCCTGCACACCCTGCCCCTCCAGAATGTGAACAAGACATTTTTATGAAAAATACCTGCAGTGATGATTTCCAGAGCACCAGACCACCTCTAATTCCAGATTTTAGCAAATTTGGGGGTTTTGGTGTGCCTCACATACATGCTGGAAATGGGTGTGACCTGGTCAAAATTCCTGCATATCTCTGCTCAAAGAATCGTTCAGCAGATATGGAAAGCAGATTTGAAATCAGCGTCCGAAGACGCATCAGTGAGTATACATCTTGTTTTAAATGGCCACTTCGACCAACCATCCTTTCCTTGTAGACTTGTTTTGATCGACACCAACCTAGCACAGACATGCTTGGAGGTGCAGTTCTTAGAGCATTTCATCACACTGTACTGTAGTACCTTGCCATCACTTAAACAGGAAAGAGCGATGCGATCGGCCTTGGATGAATTTGAAGCAGAAGTATCGAGCCGACCGGAGAGTGACCAGTCGCTTCTTGAAATTCCTTGGGATACTGTAAGTCTTTCGACACTTCACACAATACAATTTATTACTGCTGTTATCGCTCAGATACGAAAGAGAAGCGCACTGGCGGAACTTCTCACCAAGGTATTTCTGGACGTTGGACGAACTGGAGTAGTCCAAGTACGCAACGCAACTTTTCCAACTGTTCAATAATTTGTATTTCTAAAGTTTTTATGTGAGTGGGCTAGATGGGGTACTAACTACTGGCGTTACTCGTGCCCCATGTGGTCCACGGAATTGATTCCCAACGGGGTACGTCATGTGCCAGGGGGTTCCCAGTGGAGAGGTCGTTGGTCGCTGGAGGGAGGGCAGGGTTCGTACCTGGCATGTGAAATTTTTTTGATAGCTGATTTTTCTTGTTTCGTATCCGTATCAAACGTCGTGAGGAGAATCTCATCGGGTGAGAGTATACACAGAGAAGGAAATGGCCAAATTTTTTCCGCAGCGACAGGACGGTCCTTGATTTACAACTAATTCTCTTCCGAAACACCTAGTCTAACAGTATTCCGCAGCGACAGGACGGTCCTTGATTTACAACTAATTCTCTTCCGAAACACCTAGTTTAACAGTATTTCGCAGCTTCCCTTCCTGGGTGGTTAATTAGTGTCAGACTCCTCTGGCATGGTGCCTGCAATGAACTGACTGCCCAACAATTCATCCTATAGTATTTGGAATAGAGCTGGAAGGTTATAGAATGCCCGGCGTATCTCAGAAGAGGGTATCATGAACGCAAATGTTCTATCCTTTGAGGTTTTTGTGGACAACTTTATTGAAGTGGGCTTTTGTGCTCAGTCTCGTGCGTTTGCCCACGCTCACTTGACTCCGAAGAATCGCGCAGAGATTGATAGAATAGTCAAACGGATACGGTTGGTCTTCATTTGGTTCTAGGAGGACGTTAATATTCCAGGTAATAAAAGTCCATTGCATCAGGCCGTACCATGGCATACTACTCTTGGAAGACGTTTGGCCAAGTCCTGATGCTAATCCGTCAGTAACATTGCTTTTAAAGCACTGCGAAGCGGACAGATCTATTTTAGATATGTCGACTGCTTCAGGAATACCTCTACTTCAGGTGTGTGGCATGTTTTGATTGAATTTTTATTGCGACCGAAAACGATAAGTGAAAGGGAATTCCAGGAGTTATTTTAGGTATTTCTTATTGTACGCCATTTACTGTTATGGGCTCGTGCTATCGTTATCTATCCGTTATGTAACTCAAACGTCTACGCATCCGCCACGTATCCAAAGCCATGGAAAAGGTGGTGGTTTTGATACAGAATTTCGAGACTCGAATGCAGACTTATTTTACTAAGGATCAGAACAAAAAAAGGGACTCAGCGACTCCCCGTAGATTGACTGAGGGATCATTCATTCCAGCGATCGTGAGCCGGCGAGGGGTGGGGGGCGGGAGGGGCATCAAAACGTTGCATGAAGAACACATCATGGCAAGGGAAGACAACTGGTTGCTCAGCTCGACTAAATCCTTTCCCTCTCTTACTCCCCTTCATCTATGATTCTCCTCCATCTAAATGTCCGATTTCACCTATACCTTAAAGGCAGTTGGCACGATAAATCCCCAAGGCGACTAGGATCAATACTCCTGGCAGGATAGAATTCTGCGACCCTGGGCAGGCGCTGCATAGCGGTTTCCCCGAGGAAGGTGCCCTTATAAGGGCCCTATCAAGCCACAACTTTACGTCCCAAACGCCCGCCACGCCCGCCCGCCCACAAATGGACGACCGTTCCTGACTCGTATTCATTCATTTGCTAAGCAAATTATGAAGCGAAGGGATTGGTATGAAGCGGCCGTGATGCTGCATGCATACATGGGTATACATATGTAGCCCGGTCGGTAAGGAAGAACGGAATGCCCCAGCCATGCCGACTGCGCCAAGGTTCATTATCACGCGTTGCGCAAGGATCCAGTACTGCATAAATTATGGTTTTATATACACACGAACAAGGGTGGAGCTAAGATATCGTAAGAGATAAGAGCCACTTGCGGTACTCAAATCTAGTAAGTACTCTAGATGACCCTACAGCCGCTTTGCACCCTTCCAATACATCAACAAATTGGAAAGAAGGGTGCAAAGCGGCTGTAGGGTCATCTAGAGTACTTACTTGATTGCTCACTCATTATACCAGTGCATCATGCGTGTGGTATCGTCTCGAGAGGTGCTCATGTTCCCGTATGTCTGAGGTTAATAAGTCGAACTACCATCCTAGTCAATGGTTGTGAATCCATCACAAGTTGGAGTGGTTGGGAGAATTAAATTCTGTATTCTCATACCCTACGACCTCTCTGTTTTTTTGTAAGCCCCACTCGACGAATCAAGTGTAACTTCGTCCCAAGTGACTTGGTAGGACTCCTTTCAATAGGAATTCCTCGGGGAAAGTGTGCTCTCATTACTTTTTATTCTCATTGATTTGGCATCGTAAATAAGGAAATTTCAAGGATGCAAATACGGGACCTGCCTTCGAAAAACAGAGCACCATTGCATTCGAATCAAAGGCTTGAGTACCCGTACGAAAGAGTACTCAAAAGGTCACCTTGACGAACTAGTGAAGGAATTTGGAGAGTCGTAGCATTTGTGGCGTATATAGTCTGCGTTAAGATATCCATGTGGTTCACCAATTGTAGGACTCCAGTTCGACGCAAGGATCTCCAACCGTGTCGTTGGGGTCCCTGAAGAACGGGTTATATTCAATTGCTACGAGGGAAAGGGAGTGTAGGGGTTTCCATATGGCTGCTGAGAGGAGAGCGGTCTGCTTCAATAGAGAAGGACCGGTGAGTTGCAGGGACTACATTCTGACAAACTTTCATTTTTATTGTTCTACTTCCCATTTAAGACGGAGGTGGGATAGTGGCAAGTTGCGCGCTCACTACGCGCGCACCCGGCCGGCCCAACAGTCAAATCCTTGATCGCCCTTGCAAATCAAGTCTTCTATCCTGCACTTGCAGGACAATAATTTGGCACTAGGTTCGTCCGGGAGGACAGGACGCTGAGCTGTACATCGGCCGACTGCTGCAAGACTTTTGTATCGGGCATATCGCATTCAGTCAGCTTGACGACCGGATTGGAAATAGAATGTGAACGGATTGGAAATAGAATGTGTCATATCACAAAAAGGGCTATCAAAGCTCTATACTGTTCCTATCTCCATAGGCAGTTTTTTTCCTGAAACATCGGGAAACAGAAATGGTGGGCGCAGGCGAAGAATAAGGCAAAAGCAGGCAAATTTGACTCTTGGGTTTAGAGGGGTTGTACTTTGAGTGGTGGTGGAGGGCGTCCTTGTGAATGACCAACTTTCCAAATTTTCGTGACGTATCCTGCTTCACCTAAGTGAGCCATTGATGCCTTTCGGATGTGCATTACCTTCTATTGAAAAATGGAACCTAACTGCTTCATTGCTTTACTCTTGGATTTTATCGTGCTGCAGGGGTGGTAACGCTGTAGTACCAAGTCCGGAAAGCCTTATTATTGTCGGCTCTGCAAGTCATATCGACTCTTTCGAGTCTTTTGCAAAAATTGGCAGGGAGGTGCCAAATTCGAACGGGGCTTTTTTGCCCTATGATACAGTGGAAGAACTTGACTTGAATTGAGAACTTGTTCTTGGTTTCGGCCCGATCCGGACGTAGTGGAGTTAGACACCACCCACGCCCGCCCGCTCCCTGGACGCAGGCAGTAGCCGAACTGACCGCTCGTTTAGTTCCCCATTATAGAACGTGCTTCGTATAGGCGGCGGCGGTGGGAGGATCGCCCTCTGCAGAAGAGAAGCAGAGAAAAGCGCGTGTACATTGCGGAGAAATTTCGGAAGTCCCGTTCGGCCTTCCTGTTCATTCAGTTGCGGGTAGAACGCGACAGAGGTCCCCTTGGTAAGGAACGAGAAGAAGGTCAGGCGAGGAGAGACAGAGGGTTTTGGGTTTTCATTATGAACATAGGAGGGAGTGCACTTACAGTGCAGACAGATTAGAAGCGGCTAAGCGATTTTGGGAAGTAAAAGGATAAACGATCAAGTCTTCGCCGTTAATCGCCCCTTTCTGGGATGCGGCACGAACTACTTCCCTCCAGAATTTTAGCGGCCTCTTGAATGCTGTATGGCCCGGCCCGTACAATGACTTGCGGGGGCTAGCCATGCAGAAATCGTCACAGACGAATCTGGTAAAAGTTTATCGTCCCGTGGTGAAAGGTAGAATGCTGGCCTGGTCGGGGGCCGATCCGGGATTTTCGGACCGCGGGTGTGGTAAGCGTGCCACTTGCCACAACATTGCCCCCCCCCCCCTTGAAAGTTGAAATGCAAGAAAAATACGGGGCAAAATTATTCCTGCGAAGTGACAGTTGGCTAGAGATGGTGTTACTCCCGACTTCGTCCACTCATCTCGTCTCAAAAAAATTGAGGTGAACATAAGTTGACATGACGCAGACAAGCATGTGGGAGAATCTGGATGATAAACGAGTGTGCGGCGTATTCTCAATCAAGCAATGGACTAGCTGTGATCACATCCTCTGTCTTTCACATTTCTTGGATCTTGAAACGTAAGCTGCGAGGTAACGATACAGTGATCTACTGAAGGGGAGAACGCCTCAGAAGTCCGGAAAAAAATTAACCCAGGCGTCCCTTAAATCTGTGAGTTGACATGTCGTAAAATTCGAATTTGAAATATACTGTGATACTCTATGCTACGTATCCTTGGCAATAGTC